ACATACATGCAGGCAAAATGCTCACACACACACACACACACACACACACACACACACACACACACACACACACACTCACGGCGAAGGGAAGAGTGTCACATGGCAATCGACAGCAAAATTAAAAAGGAAGTTGGGTGTGGAGCACAGCCAAGCAAGGTCACATAGCGAAGTGCAAGAATCCCTCTTGCTGACAGAAAATATAAATTGCAGGGCGGGAGAGATGCCGCAGGTGATTACGAGTCCTTACTGTTCCTGCTGAGGAACTGAGCCTGGGCACATTAACCCCAGTGAGTAGCTTACAAGGCCTGCAACCCCAGCTTCAGAGAGTCAAATGCTCTCTTCTGGCGCCAGAGTGTATGTGCGTGTATGCATGTGCACACACACACACACACACACACACACACACACCACAGACACAGATACACACACAGTGCCCACACACTTTAGAAAGACAGACAGACAGGTAATAGGGCAGCAGAAGGAAAGACAAGTGGAAAGACTAAACTACAAAACATTAATGACACTAACTCCGAATTATCAAAGAGTTTTGGATTATCTGGAATTGTGGATAACAGTATTATCTATATTTATGTTGTTTAATATTTTCATATTTCCAATGATAAAAAAGCACGCTTTTTGAAACATGAAAATACAAGTATTTTGGGGCTTTAAAAGATAGTGCTGGGCTGGAGAGATAGCTCGGTTGTTGAAAGCATGTAATGTTATTCTAGAAGACCTAAGTTTGATTTAGCACCCACATCAGGTACCATACAATGGTCTGTAACTCCAGCTCCAGGGGATCTAATGCCCTCTTCTGGCCTCTGAGAGTAACTGCATTTATGTATACATATATACATACTTACATACATACATACATACATACATACATACATACATACATACATATAAAACTAAAAATAAAATTAATCTTTTTTTGAAAAAAAAAAACAGTACTACACAGTCTACTTTACTAATTAATGAAGGACATAGTGCCAGTTAGGTATTTTTCCCAAAGTATATTAGTTTCTATTTTTATTTTTGTTTTTTAAGAAAAGGTCTAGAGAGAGGGAGCCTAGGTTAGTCTCAAACTCATGATCCTCCTGCCTCAGGCTCCATAACGCTGGGCTTACAGCTATGTCCCACCACAGCTGGTCATTTTAGCCTTTTTTTGTCCTATCAGGAGCAGTGATAGAAAACTGTGAGAAGTTGATATAAGCAAGGTATGGAGGCTCACAACTGTAATCCTAGCACTTGGAAAACTGAGGCAGGAGAATTGCCATGAATCTGAGGCCAGCCTTGGCTACACAACGAGTTCCAGGCCAGCCTGGGCTACACAGCAAATTGGACATACTCTGGGGTAGGTAGTAAGCCAGGAGGAGAGCCAGGAGGAGAGCATTCCACATCTGTATTTCACTGAGGTCTACTGGGAGAAAAGGAAGGCACTTTCTTTCCCTGGTGCTGGTGCTGAAAAGGAACACACCTTTGCACACCATCCATTCTGCCTGTGGCTCTGAGCCCCACACCCAGATAATGCACACATGGGAGGTCAGTACCTGTGTGGCTTGTGCCAAAGAGTCCTGTGTGGCTTTGGACAGTTTCCGTAGATATCGTCCATAAATCACGGCGAGGATGGAGATCGGAGGTACCACACTCAGAACAAAGGTGGCCAGACTGGGTGACACAAAAAACTGTCAAGAACGAAAGTCAAGAGCATGTACTCCTTGAAGTGGCAAGGCATCCTCAGACCTACAGTGTGTAGGTGGGAAGACACTGTCTCCAAGCCATGCCTCCTGATTGGGTTGGATTTTCCTGGCATCTTTAATTCTTACAAAACCCAACGTCAAAGCTGGCACAGGCCTTTAAATCCCAGCACTCATGAGGAGGCAGAGGCACGTGATCTCTATGATTGGAGGCTACCTTGTCTACATAGTGAGTTTCAGGCCAACCAGGTCTACACAGTGAGACCCTGCCTCAAAATCAAAACAAGCGCAAAAACTCAAGTTGTGCATACTACCAAGGAGAACGGTGGCTGCCACAGCTGTAGGAAAGATGGAAACAGCATATCCTCTGGACAATCCTAACATGCTCTAATATGCCAGCCCACATCTTCAACAGCAGACAGAGGGGCAGGATGGAATGGGGGTTCAGCAGAGAGGCCTATTCTGCCCTGCTCTGGGCAAACCACACCATGAGTTCTAAACTCGGCCGTAATCACCCTAAGGCCATGACTGCCCAGAATTGTTCCCACCTAGATAAACCAGTTAGAGAAGTCACCAAAACTCTTATCACATTGCAGAACTGGGAAAGTTACTTAGGCCAGCAGGGCTGGTTGGAACACAAACCCTACCCGGAGAGTGAGTCTGAACCACCAGAGATGAGCAAGACAGCTGTGGAACATGGGCCACCCTGCAGGGGCACAGAAAATGAGGTCTACACCCCTTAAACCTGATACTTGGTTCCCAAAGGGGCTCTTTGGCCTGACTTTCTTGGCTGTCTTCACACCCTGGTCTTACACATCTCCAGAAAAAAAAAAAAACATTCTCAGATTAACACTCACTCAAGAGAGATACAGGCCAGGCCAGGGGAGATAATCCCTATGTCCCCAATCTGGGGCAATGTTCTTGCTTCTACACGCTTATAAAATGACAGGAACATCTCAAGCCCCTCATACTCAAAAGCCCTGGCCCCGAGAGCCCTGACAGAAAGCACCAAGAGGAACAGGCTGACGTACCATCATGCCAACACCAACCGAAGCCTGGGCCCCAGCCCTCAGTCCATCAGAGAGGTTTTCCGTCACTGAGCGCCCCAGGAGTGCAGTATCTGAGGAGAGGCGGTTAATCAATTCTCCTGTGCGGGTCTTATCAAAGAAAGCAACCTCTTGCCTTAGGATAGAGGAGAACAGTGAGGTGCGCAGCCTGTTCACGATGCTCTGACCTGCAAAGCAAACAGAGCAGCGAACAGTGAATGCAGCCACCTGCCACTCACGGGGCAGCCATATAAAAACAACCCGTGTCTACAGCCCGTTGTCAAAGCCAGTTTGTAGAGTAAGCACATCAGCTCAGTGGGTCCTGGCATGGCATGGACTCACACAGGCCAGCATGTTCACTTCCTGTTAGTGACTACAGACTGAGGATACAAGGAGAGTCGAGATCGTGATAAAGGTAACATGGGTTGGCAAGATGACTCAGCAGATAAAGGTGCTTGCCATGCACTCGTGACGACCTGAGTCATCAGCTGGAACCCTCAAACACACACAGAGGTAGGAGAGAACTGACTTCAGAACGTTTTCGTCTGACCTCACCGTATGTGCATGCATGCCCGCACATGTATATAAATATACCATAACAGCAATAAAAATACATTTTAATTTAAAAAAAAGGTAAAACGTTCCTTGATGTGTGAGGAGCATCACATACCCAGGCCTAGAGCCCATCTTACTAGAACGCAGTCATGGAATGCAGTCCCGGGCTGCCAGCACTGGGGCGGTTCCCTGCCTGCTAACGAGACATTTCTAAAGACATGGCACTCAGGTCCCCATCCCAGTAGCTACACAGCATGAGCAGACAGGTCTTGCTTTTACTACCTGTTCAACCCTGACCACACAAAAGTAGAGAATTAATATACTGGATGATCATAATGTCATCTCGATGGGATGTGGGATCTATCCCCAAGGAATGCAACATCAGGCAGAGACTGGGGCCTGGAGCAGTGGCACTCGAAGCCCTGATATTACCCCAGGTCCTTCGTCATCTTTGAGATGACCCCCACCAAATGACACTGACCTGAAGACTGCATGAGGTAGACACGAACGGCGTTCGCAGCAGCACCACACAGGAACACACAAGTGAGGCCAGCACAGAGGTGAGTCAGGCTGTCGACATAGTCCCCGCTTGGGTTGGTGTAAATAACATCAATGATCTTCCCCAGGAAGAAAGGAGCAGACATGGTGATGACACTGGACACAGCGAGAAACCCAACAGCAGCTGGAAGACAGGAGCAACACTCCGAACTCACGCCGCAGCACAGGGCAGGTGCCCAGCACAGGGCAGGTGCCCAGCACAGGGCAGGTGCCCAGCACAAAGGGCCTCAGACCTACAGCAGCCTCAGTGGCTGGGCTTTCTCCTCCTTCATCAATGGGCCTGACTCAAGGAAGGACCAGATGGCTTCAGGTTAAGAACAAGAAGCATGGCTGTGAGGGGATGTGTGTGTGTGCCCAGCTAGACAAGAGGATGTTATGGTTTGTGCATTCCTTCCTTGCTAGGAGAACCTGAGGCTAACCATGGACATCTGACTGGCCCCCTCCTGTCTGCTGGTCTCGGTACTCATTTCAGATCCTGTTTCTCGTGCATTTCTGCTACATGCTGTTACTCCTTGGTATCTAACTACACCTTAGCTGGATGGTCAAACTATCCAGGGAAACTTTATCTTTTGTTATGTATGAGGGAGGGGATGCTTTTTTGAGATAAGGTCTAACTCTGTAGTCCAGGCTAACTTCAAACTCACAATGTAGCCCAGGTTAGCTTTGAACTTTTTGTGACATATCTTAGCTTCTTGAGTGATGAGATTATAGGTATACACCATTGTGCCTGGCTTAATGTTCTTGACTGTGCTTCGTATTTCAAAGCTCTCTACATAAGCTTTGGAGAACAGTTCCTGGGATCCACTCTGAATGTAGTTTGTCCCTTCTTAGTATTATTTCTCTGGGGAATACATGAAATGATAGTAATCAGGAAATTAATTGTCCATGTAACTAAACAACAGATACGAGGGACAGAGGCTTATTAAGAAGTTCTAGCCAGGTGTGGTGATGAATGCCTGAAATCCCAGCACTTGGGAGGCAGAGGCAGATCTCTGAGTTCAAGGCCAGCCTATTCTACACAGTAAGTTTCAGGCCAGCCAGGACTACATAGTTGGCACAAACAAACAAACAAACAAAAATCTAAGAAAATCCAGTTGGAAAGAACACACATCACAGACAACCACATTCATATAAAAAGGAATATAAAAGTATAGGACAGCCAAGTTTTTACTCATGAGCCTGGCAAAGATTACATGCTCACAATGTTGGTGAAGATGTGGGAAGGAGACTCTCATTGGTGGGAACAGACACTGACTGATGGAGGAGCAAGTTTACACCAGCTACAAGTGAGATCCTAGGTGAATAATCCCTTTGAATTGTAATGGACTTCTGAGAATTTTACTTACAAACTTCCACATCAAGTGTGGAGAAATAAATCCAAGGATGTGCAATTATAGCATTAACTATATCAGCAAAAGAATCAGTATCTTAAACACCCACCTAAACAGGGTAAGTTGAACCTACTATGAAGAATTTATAAATATTAATTCATTAGTATAAGGAATGAGGTAACTCTTTGGGTACCTACAGTTCAGCAAGATGTGCCGTGGGAACTGGGCCTGGTGACACAGAGCTGATATCCAGGAGGATCACAGGTTCAAGTCTAACCTCAGCTATAGAGTACGTTCAAGAGCAGTCTAGGTAACTTAGTGAGACACTATCTCAAAATAAAGAGAACTTTGGATGTAGCTAAGTGCTAGAGCACTTGCCTAGCATGTGTGAAACCCTAGGTTCAATTCCCAGTACTGTTAACACAGAGAAAGACAGACAGACACACAGACAAAGACAAGTAATTGGTTAAAAAACAAGTCCTAGATAATAATACTAGCATCTTTTGGGTGTTTTCCTATTTTCTCTTTCCTCAGAGTTTATATGAGTACAGAACTTTTTGTTTGTTTGAGACAGGGTTTCTCTGTGTAGCCTTGTCTGTCCTGGATCTCATTCTGTAAAACAGTCTGTCCTTAAACTCAGTGATCCACCTGCCTCTGCCTCCCAAGTGCTGGGATTGAAAGCATGCACCACCACCACCTGGCCGTACAGAACATTTTTGGAAGAATATTAAGAAACAGCAGCCCATGGACTGGAGAGATGGCTCAAAGGTTAAGAGCACTGACTGTTCTTCCAGAGGTCCTGAGTTCAATTCCCAACAACCACATGGTGGCTCACAACCATCTGTAATGAGATCTGGTGCCCTCTTCAGGCTAGCAGGAATACATGCAAATAAAACACTGTAAACATAATAAATAAATAAATCTTTAAAAATAGAAAAGAAAAAAAGAAAGAGCAGCCCAGGCTCCTTTTAAGAGCAGTGCTGTGCCTGGGTGTAGGGTAGATCTGTTCCTCCAGGCTTCCCTGGTTTGGGACAACACACCTCTTCGGAGCCTTGCTGGTTTATGGCAGGACTACTGATGAAGAGTTCCCTAGCCCCATCTGCAGAGGATGGGTACTTCTTTCTCCTTGGTCTAATGTTCACACTTCAGATAAAGAGATCATTCTAACACAAGCTTGAGAGAACATGGGCCAGTGTGGTGGTCTGAAGAGGAAAGGCCCCATAGACTCATGTATTTGAATGCTTGGTCACAGAGAGTGGCACTGTTAGGAGGTGTGGCCTCACTGGAGTAGATGTGGCTTTGTTGGTGGTGGTGTATCACTAGGTGGGAAGGTTCTGAGGTCTCAGAAGTTCAAGCCATGCTTGCTGCCTGCTGATCCAGATGTAGAATTCTCAGCTTCTTCTCCAGCACCATGTCTGCCAGCATGATGTCATACTTCCTTCCATGATAATAAATAAACTGAACCTCTGAAATTATAAGCCAGCCCCAATTAAATGTTTTCCTTTATAAGAGTTGCCATGGCCATGGTGACTCTTCACAGTAATAGAAACACTAATTAAGACAGACGTTAGTACCAGGGACTGGGGTATTGCTGTGATAAGCCTGACCATGCTTTTGTTTGGAGGAATGTGGACTTTGGTACTTTGGATTAGAAAAGCAGTTGATTGCTTTATTTATTGATTTTTTTAATTGGTTGATTGATATTTTTGTTTGTTTGATTGTTTTTGTTTTTTGAGACAGGGTTTTTCTGTGAAATAGCTCTGGCTGTCCTGGAACTCACTTTGTAGACCAAGTTGGCCTCAAACTCAGAGAGATCCACCTGCCTCTGCCTCCTGAGTGCTGGGATTAAAGGCGTGCGCCACCATGCCTAGCTCAGTTAATTGCTTCAAGTGGAACTTAATGGCCCACCCTAGTAGGAACATGAAAGACAAGTGGTGTGATTTGAACTCTGGAGGTCTGGCTCGAGGTTTCAGAGGAGAATGTTAGTATGCAGCCTAGAGACTATTCTTGTGATGTTATGGTGAAGAATGTGGCTGCCTTTTACCCTTGCCAAAAAATGTCTGCCTGAGGCTAAATTGAAGAGTTTTGGATTAATTGCACTGGCAGAGGAAATTTCAAAACAGCCAAGCATTGACTCCATTGTCTGGTTATTAGTGGTCACTCTTGTGAAGATCTGTGATGAAAAGGAACAGGCTGAGGAAGTTACAAAATGGACAATTTAAGGAGAAAGGGGGCACCAGGAAGTGGAGTGGAGCTAAATCCTGTGTTCAAGGAGATAAACAGATTAAAGAAAAGCCTGATGTTAGATGGAATAAAGGAAAGATCCCACCCAGCTAAGCTTCCAACTTGTGAAAAGGAATTAAAGTGTAGGGCCGGATGTGGTGGTGCATGCTTCCTTTGATCCCAGCACTCTGGAGGCAGGAGGTAGAGGCAGGCAGATCTCTAAATTTAAGGCCAGTCAGGTCTACAGAGTGAGTTCCAAGACAGTCAAGCTTAGGCAGTGAAGAAAACCATTGAAAACAGAAAGCTGGTGAAGATGTATTTGAACAAGGGGGGCACGTCCTAGCCCCAGCAAGCAGCAGAGCTTGGCAGCTTTGGCCACGTGGTCCTGGCTTTAGAGTCAAAGACAGAAGAGAGGGATTATGGAATCTCCCTCCCTGACTAAGGAAAGCTGCTGAGGCCAGGTGTCTGGCAGAGGCGTCCCTTCATGGACACCCTGAGAGACCATTGTGTGAAGCTATAAAGGTGAAACCTGAATTGCCTCGGAGACCTCAAGATGTTGAAGATGCCAGAGTCATAGAATACCTGCTGAGGAAAGCTGCTAACAGGGAGTGGAACCAGCCCAAGAGAACTGTTGCAGTCAACAAAGCCGAAAGGAGTTGGAGATCTAAAGAGCATGTTGACATCAGACGTGGAGATACAGACTTTGGAGTTTGCCCAGATGGTTTTCAGTCTTGCTTTGGTCCAGTATTTCTTTACTATGTTCCTTTCCCTCCCTTTTTGAAAGGTAATGTATATCCTGTGCCATTATATGTTGGAAGTATGTGATTTGCTTTTCATTCTGATTTTAAAGGGGATCACAGTTAAGAGACTCTATGAGTCTCAGAAGAGACTTTGAACTTTGGACTTTTGAAATAGGACTGATTGCATTTCTGCATTATGTTATGGCTACAAGCCATAGGGAGTGGAATGTGGTGGTCTGAATAGGAATAGCTCACATAGACTCGTGTATTTGAATGCTTGGCCATAGAGAGTGGCACTATTAGGAGGTACATCCTCGTTGGAGTAGATGTGGCTTTGTTGGAGGTGGTATGTCACTAGTGGGTGGGCTTTGAGGTCTCAGAAGTTCAAGTCACGCCCAGTGTGGCATCTTCTTCCTGCTGCCTGCAGATCCAGATGTAGAATTCTCAGCTCCTTCTCCAGCACCACATCTGCCTATGTGCCACCATGCTCCCCACCAGGACAATAAAGGACTAAACCTCCGAAACTGTAAGCCAGCCCCAATTAAATGTTTTCCTTTATAAGAGTTGCCTTGGCCACGGTCTTTCTTTGCAGCAATAGAAACCCTAACTGAGACAACCAGGGAGTAAGCAGAGCTCTCAGCATATGTGTGGGGGCAGTGGGCTTTTCAGCAGGCAAGAGGCCTTGTTATCTTCATCCTAGCATTGCCTTTTCAACGCACCAGCTCTGGAGCCTCACTTAAAATGAAGACATCTGACACTGCTTCCTGCCTTCCTGCCCTTCCTTTGTCTCCCACTTTCCCTTCTGGAATTCTAAATGTTATCACAGGCTT